AGGTGAAAAGGCGAGATTCCAAATCTCGTCTTTTCGACTTCTCGGGTACCAGATGGTGAGAAAGCGAGATTTAAAATCTCGTCTTTTTGGCCTTCTCGGGTACGAGAAGGTGACAAAGCGAGATTCCAAATCTCATCTTCTCGACTTTTCGGGTATGGGAAAGTGGAGAAGTCGAGATTCCAAATCTCGTCTTCTCGACTTTTCGGGTACAAGAAGGTGGGCAAGCGAGATTCCAAATCTGTTGTAGGAATTAGCTTTTAGTAGAACTTGTGGACCTATAAATTATATAGCCGTAGAATTGTAGAATTTGTAGAATTTGTAGAATTTGTAGAATTTGTAGAATTTGTAGAATTTTGTAGAATTTTATTGACTCTTTGACCCCCTCTCGGGGTATGAGAGTACAAACAAACATCAAAGTATAAATAACAATGCATGACTTATGAATACAATTTACATACATTATACATAGATAATGACACAAAGATAAAAACGATAATAGGTATATAGTGTATGAAAGTACAAACATGAACAATGAACCAACTAGTAAACACAAATTATATATACATGTACATGTACATGTACAATGAATGTAGATAGTGACAAACTGACAATAATAAAAGGATAACTATAATGCAGTCTATTTACAAGCTAAATAGTAAACAAAGTAGGCTGCTTCACTATCCTACCGCTACGAGTACGTGTATGTTCAGCTCTAATTGTACTTCTTGAAATGCTTGAAATATCTTCTTTCTCTGTTTTTTGATTAAATTTCAACATAATAAGGCGGGTAAATCTCAATAAATTCTTCAACTGAGAAGTGCTTCTAGTATTAAAAAGTTCTGCCATGTGTATAGCACTTGGGAGCTTAGACTTACAACACTTTTTTGATAAATATAAACATCTCTCTCTTTGAAAAAACGGACAAACAAAAATATAGTGAAATTCATCTCCTATATCAGTGGACAGGCAGAGTGTGCACTGCATATCACAATGTGGTGTGTTCGCATCAAACCGACCTTTGTTTACAGGTAATTTATGTGATCTACACCGAAACTTCTTGGTCCGAATTCACAAAGCAAGGTTTGAGTTTAGACCAAGGTTTGAGCTCAAACCTCCTTTTGTTTCGCCAAACCTCCTTTTGTTAGTAAATAACAAAAGGAGGTTTGGCGAAACAAAAGGAGGTTTGAGCTCAAACCTTGGTCTGAGCTCAAACCTTGCTTTGTGAATTCGGGCCACAGAGAGTAAAAGCATCAGTTTTATGCTATAGTCACATTACCCAAAAGTAGCCTGCTCGGCGGCCGAGCGGCGAGTTTTTGACCAATTCTGCCCGGCGGCTGGCCAGCCACCCAGCGGCGGCCGCCCAGGGACCGCTCGTTTTTAGGGCATCGCTCGGTCGCCGCTGAAGTTTTAGCGCGGAGTTAAAATTTGGGCGGCGCCTGCTCACTTTTCACTCGCCGCCCAAAATACGCTCGGTGCCTTGGCGGTCGCCGCCCGGGCACCGACCTAATCGCTGGGCGATGCCTAATTCCAGCAGCGACCGAGCAGGCTACTGATCGGTCGGTCGCTGCTCTGATTTGTGACCATAGCTTTATTTAGGGTGAGTAAATAGCTTTCAAATATATGGTTGCCTTTAAATATCCTATAATTTGTGCAAATGCGATTTGACCATACTGCATCTTTCCATTCCTGACCAAAAATATCATTTAGTCTCAGTTTTAGCAAAGAATTAATATTTAAGCCAAATCCACTATTTTGGCCTAGCCAAATATTGGATAGACCAGCTTGATTAAATGTGTCTTCAATAAATTTTAACCATGAGGAAGTAAATTCCAAATGTTCATCTTTATGAATGGCAGAAATGAATTTTAAAAGGACATATGAATATTTGCTATCTTTACCTCTCAAAATTCTTGACCAAAAATTAACCATTCTACCCTTCACATGATTCAAAATCAAACCTCGTCCAGTTTCTCCATAAACCATACAGTCTGGAGTATATGAACTTACAGATAATAACGTTCTGAGGAATTTCAGCATCCAGAAGCTCTTCAATTTCAGCCAATGAAGAGTTTCAAGATTTCATATTTCCATGAATTTTACCTCGTAATGTGAATACAGAAAAAGACATATTGTTTAGTTCTATTAATAAATACTTAAAAAGCGTACGAAATATATAAATACTGTCGGTTTTTAATATTTAAAATATTATAGAACTCAAGCAGTAAATCGTATCTGGATTGCATTACCTCTTTGTACGCTACATGACGCGAACACCTTCAAGGTCCGAGAGTGTTCAAGCCCCCTATCTCCCCAAACAAAACACAATTTTAAAGTGCCTCCCTCCCCACCCCTCTCCGGGCAATAACTAGGTTCATGGTCCGGTCCAACTCAGTGTGTTTCCGGTGTTAGGAAAGTTTCAGGAAATCAAGATTGGGGATGAATAAAGTTAGGTATATTAATACTTAGTTTAACTAGTATCCCAAATTATGGTAATTCACGGAAAAAAGAAAATCTTGAAATTTCTTCATTGGCTGAAATTGAAGAGCTTCAGGCCTGGGTCCCTGGATATAGCTAAGGCTATATAATTTGTAGTTTCTAAAATAGCAATCCCAGTCCTTAAATGGCTATGATAATGGGCCTGCTTAATTGTTCTACTTAATGTCTCAGTGGTAAAGCCTAGATAAGCTCAGTCAGGGGCAGGGTTGTGGGGCAATATTTCACACAAGGGGGGGGGGGACAAATTACGATAGGATTATTATTTGTCTTATGTTCTCCTTTTTTTGTCACCACATAGGAGCGGGGGAAATATATTAGCTAGATTATGGGGATTTCTTTATATAATTATCAGACATGATACAGGGGACGCTACCCTTCGCATAATGCCTTACGGCCACCAAATCGTGTTTCATTTGGCTTAAAATCTTGAAAATTAAACTTCCTTACTTATATGGAAAATATATCGTGCAATATTGTATATTTATGAAAAACTTGAAAATGGTGTCCCTTCAACCCCCTCTCGGTCATTTCCTTCCTTTGCTGAGGGTTAGAGACACGAACGATCAGTCCCTTGATGTAAACACTGCTACACCCCACTGCCCCCCCCCCCCCCCCGTGAAACACAGACAGGCTACGCCATCTATGAACTACTTTGACGAAAAATGTCGGTAATAATGTACTTTTACCTAGGGAATACTGCGGGGAGGGTGGGCCGAATGCGTGATATGACCGATGAGGAGGGGGGGGGGGGGGGGGTGGGGCCCGGGATAATGGGTCGCGTACATTAATGGGGCACGCCCATTGTTCAGAAAAATAATATATGTTTTCAATAAATGTTTCCTACAAATATAAGGGTCCACGTGGCGTCCCCCCCCCCCCTCCCACGCCTACGCCACAGCCGTAGGGGTACCCCTTATCCATTATTTCGCTATCTTATTATCATTTCGTTTATTACTTACTAATATTTAATTTTCTTTTTCATGAATAGCGACTCTTATCCCGTATTATGAATAGCGACAGTCTTCTTGTATTACGAATAGCGACCCTCCTATTTATCATGAATAGCGCCTCTCTTCTTTGATTGTGAATAGCGGTCCTTACGAATAATGGCCTATTTCTCAAATTATTAATAGTGGTCCTCATGAATATCGGTCCTTGTGAATAGCGAGGATTCCCCGTTACAAGTCGCCTTCTCGTACTGAATAAGACGCCATAGAAGGTTTGCACCTCTCGCCTCCCCGCGTTCTCGTCCAAAACAAGGCGACTTAGCGAGTTTGTAAAAAAAATGCCTTCTCACCATTTCATACCCGAGAAGTCAAGAAGACGAGATGCCGGATCACGCCTTCGCACCTTCTTGTACCTGAGAAGTCGAGAAGACGAGATTTGGAATCTCGCTTTCTCACCTTCTTGGACCTGAGAAGTCGAGAAGACGAGATTTGGAATCTCGCTTTCTCACCTTCTTGGACCTAAAAAGGCCGAGAAGACGAGATTTGGAATCTCGCCTTCGCACCTTCTTGTACCTGAGAAGTCGAGAAGACGAGATTTGGAATCTCGCTTTCTCACCTTCTTGGACCTAAAAAGGCCGAGAAGACGAGATGCCGGATCACGCCTTCTCGCCTTCTCGGACCAAAAAAGTCGAGAAGACGAGGAATTATCTCGTCATCTCGGTGGCACTTTTAAGCTTTCGTACCCTGCGTATTTTCAACACCACGAGGTTTTTTTTTCACTCCCGCTTACACCACGCTCGAGTCAACAACTTCCGCTTACACCACGGTCGAGTCAACAACTCCTGCTTATAGTCCGGGAGCCAGCGGCGGGAGGGGGAGGGGGGGGGGTGGGTCAACCTAGCTGGAAAGGAAACTAATTTTCATGTGCACAGATGTTAAGATCGCTATATGACCGCCTGGCATGTTCCAAGTGGTGGGTGTGGCCGGGGGGACGCCCCCCGCCGAAAAAGCGGCCATTTTGACGACAAAATAGTATTTTGTAAATAATGTTTTAAGGATTTCATTCATTCTCTGATTTTTCAGCTTTCCTCCTGAGAGTATTTTGATGTCAAGGATGGATTTATATTAGGCCAGGGAGGGGACATGAGTCACCTCCCTGATTAGGCGTACTTTTAAATCAAAGCCGCTTTCCAACAACATACATTATAGTCATCATTTATAAAGAAAACAAGAATCGAATGAAGGCAATTAATAATGAAACATCAAACATGAAAGAAATTTGGTGGTGTATTCAACTTTAATGTCATCAGGGGCTCTCGTGTAACTAAAAAGAGTTAATTGAATTTCAAACAAGAGCAGCTCCTAAACATATACGATCTCTTCAATTTTATACGTAAGAAAGCAAGGGGGCGTCATTACACAAAACGATGTAGATAGAGGGCGATATTACTATTTCATTAGAGCGCCCCATGAAGTCTCTATGATGAGACCAAACCATAAATGCGAAATAAAATAATTGTTCAAAGGTGGAAAAGAATGATATTATGAATGTGTTTTATGTGGGTATAGTTACAATACAGTACTGAATTTCTCTCCATTGATTCATTGCGACATACTGGTTAAGTCCAGAATCTGACCGATTTAAATTTAATCTCCACCACACCGTACCAAAGCAAATATTCATATATTCAAATATTAATATGCATTTTAGGATGGCTAGGTTAATGAAAAAAAAGACGCGTACCGGACCTTAAATTTCAGGAGTTTGGAAAACAAAAACTATCCAAGGCATATCTAGGTAATTGGTGACCAACATTCTTTTTAGATGCATGAAGGTTCCGTTCTTAATCATTTATCAAGAAAACAAGAATCAAATGAAGGGAGTTGATTATGAAACAGCAAACTTAAACGTCAAATGGGTGGTTTATTCAACTTGTTCTCACCAGGCGCCTCATGTGTAACTAAAAAAGTTAATTAAATTTCAAACAAGAGCTCCTATACATATACGATCTCTTCAATATGACGTAAGAAAGCAAGGGGGTCGCATTATATACAACGATGTAGATAGAGGGCGATATTACTATTTCATTAGAGTACCTCATGGAGTCTCTATGATGAGACCAAATCATTAATGCGAAATCATATAATTTGTCAAAGGTGGAAAAGAATGATATAAATGAATGTGTTTTATGTGGGTATTGTTACAATACAGTACTGAATTTCCCCTCCGTTGATTTATCGAGAGCCGTTGAGTTCCTGTGATTTTAAGGAGGCGATGTAGGCCTATACCGGACCTTAAATTTCAGGAGTTTGGAAAACAAAAATTATCCCAGGCATATCATCAAGGTAGTTGGGGACCCATTCTCTTTTCAGATACCTCAAGGTTCCGTTCTTACTCAACTCTACTATGGCTGAGTCAACCTGGCCATTGTTAAACTCTGGTGAGTTAAATAAGTTTGCTTCACGCATAACCAGCACAATCAGACCGCCTGTCAAATATAAAGACAAAAAAACAACAACACAAAAACACTTTAAAAAAACACAAATCAAATTGACGACAAATAAACAAGTAAAATAACAACTCTATTAAAAGAAAAGAATGACCCCCCCCCCCCCAGGAGGGTATTCCATTGAAGGATTTAGGGGAAGCCTAGGTGCTAATTTGCATAGTTTAATACACAGAACTCTCCCTCTTTATTGTGTATTATTAATAATATGGCTATTTATATAGCGCCGGTATCCGCCAGGCTGTGACACTCATGGCGCTTTATACATATTATATATTTACTTGTGCTCTTTCCGCCCCTGCTGAATGGCAAGTCACTAAGGGTAACACAGTTACGATACTACTACACTATTCAAATGAGAATTAAATGAAATGGTTAACATTGAAGAGGAAAGACATCGGAAATCAAAATACATAGAAACAAACACACAAGCAAGATGTGATGCATTGTAGGAAAGTAACCATTTAAAAATGCGTCGACAGATAACAAAGTAAAAGATTTTATGCCTATTTCCCTCCAATCCTTTTTGTTGTTGTTACTAGACCGTCTTTTCGGTATTGTAACATAAAAGAGGACAAGTTGAAAGAAAAGACGTGTGTACCGCAATCCTAATATAAAATGAGGTACCGGTGCAATCAGACCAAATCATCACCCTTAATCATCATCATCATCATCATCATCATCCTTTCAGAGTAATATCTAGTGGCTCCGCGAGGGTCAACTAATAAAGGGGCACTTGCATTAGGGGGGGGCGCTGGTCTCTTCTTGAATTACATGTGAATAAACAGAGACACCAATATCCATGTTTACTTATGTATTTAAATTTATGCATGTTTTTTCCCAAACACTTGGTTTCCAAATTTTGTTCACAAAGTATGACTAAAATTAGCAAACAGGTCTATTCGGGAAAGGCTAGGGGGCGTATCCTCGCTTCCTTCCTGGTCCCTCTCCCTTTCTTCACTTTCTTTCTCCTATTTCTTTCTTTTTCTTTTTTTTAACTCCTGTCACCATCACTTTTTGGGGGGCATTCAGTTAGGGTACGTGCTCCCAACCCCTTCACATCTACGCAATTAATTAGCATCATGTTTAAGTTGATTAAATGGTTTACCTGGTTTAACGACTCGGGCGAACTCTGGAAAGCATGGTGTATTCAGATGACCCGGACAGAACGTTCCCACTGTTACCAACGCATCATATTCATCTGAAAACAAGTTGTATTTCAATAATAAATCGTTCTGGTATGTAATCCAACGAACGTTTGGATAAACATTTCCGCACCTAAGAGATTGTATATCACTGAATAGAAGAAACCTGACGACTGACATTACTTGTGACAGAAAAGCCACATATCAATAAAGAAAAATAGTTACTGATATACCTAAGTTCAATTTTCATGAAATTATTATCATTATTATAAATATTATTATATCCTGTATTGGTTTTTGAATGGTTGAAAATCCTGGATGGTTGATAGCTCTTCACGTGACCAGAAATATTTCAACCATTTTGGAGTTAACTTTATTTTTCTTTTAACCTGTACAAATTTAAAATGTTTCATATTCTGTCTACATTTTTTCGAATTTTCTTTTTAATTTAATACATTTTATCAAAACATAAAATGTTTAAAATGTTTTTTTGTTAAAGAAAAAAAAGTTCGATTTTATAAAAAGCAGGATATAAAACAAATATACCCTGCCTTCTTTTCGAGGTACTGGTTAAAGCTAACGGCCTCGGTGACTCCAATAGTACCATTTGCTTCGGGGCACTATTGGAGTCACCTCTTGCCCATAGTTTCAACCAGAAACTCTCAAGACAGTGTATATTAAATATTATCATTATTATCATTATTATTGGGATTATTTTCATTACTATTTTTATCATAATTGTTATCAACATTACTACAGTTATTAGTAGTATTGCTATCAGCATCATCATCTTCATCGTCAGTATCATGACCAGTGGTAGAAGTGGTAGTAGTATAGGATTTTCCGTCCATTTTAACATCTTTTCATTCAATACCGTCCCGAAACTTTCTTATCTTGCACATTTATGGTCAATTTCGTCTTAGGTCATTTATTTTTGAACGATGTCGTCCATCCGGCACTTTCATCATTTTGCATCCAATCTCGTCAAAGTCAAATCAAGTTCGTCAGCCTCGGCTGTCAATGTACAATTTCCATGAATTATTTTCGTCATTTTGCAGTAGATTTCATTAAAGCGTCATTCAAATCCATCCCTCGTTTGTTATAAGGTCTTGTCTATGCAAAGAATTTGAATGGATCTCTCTTGAAAATAAAGGCACAAAGACGGATTTGATATTTAAATTCTGCCTCGGACCGCCATGTAAGAGGAATTCCAATGAAATCTGACAAAAAATGAATGGACAAGTGTTTAAATCGATCGACCAATGACTAATTTGAATGACAAATGACTAAATTGAGTTTGACATTAGCACGATCCCGGATTCCTAGGACGAGACTGAAGTGCACAGAGATTTGAACGAAAAATGGACGGGAAATCCTATAGTAGCAGCAGCAGTTGTAGTAATAGTAGTAGTAGAAGTGGTGGTAGTAGTAGTAGTAGTAATAGTAGTACCAGTAGTAGTACTGGTAGTAGTAGTGGTATAATAGTAGTAGAAGTAGTGGTAGGCCTAGTTGAGCAGTACTAGTAGTACTATTAGTAGCAGCAGCAGTAGTAGTAGTAGTAGTAGTAGTAGTAGTAGTAGTAGTAGTAGTAGTAGTAGACTAGTAGCAATAGTAGTTGCAGTTGAAGTAGTAGTAGTAGTGCAGTCCCAAAGACTCTTAAATGAACAAACAACACTAACTGTCTTTGTCGGGTATGCCACCATTCAATAAATCTGCATAACGAACACTTCTGTAACAGCCGGTTGCCCTGGCAACTTCAATGCTCTTCTCGGAAAAATCCACCCCATGGAGGTTAGTAAACCCACGCTTGGCCATCTGAAATCAGATTACGAAAATATTTATTAATTCGTTCATTTATACATTTACTAATTTATACATATAGGCCTAATTCTTAAGATTAATTAATTAATTCATCCATCTATTATTTCATTGATTAATATGTCGACTGTTCCTTCATTATTCTATTAATTTCTCATTATCCCACTCAGTTAAAACTATGTTATTGTCTAAGTATTGATCCTGTCGTGTGTAATTTTACCGTATTCATGTTCGTGTGTACATTGACTGTATATTCAACAATGATGTGTAATCGTCCACGACCCAGCATCGTTTATCCATTCATGAATGAACCTGCAATCAATCAGCAGATGTATGAGATTTATTGTATTATTACCAACGCTCCTTCTCTCCCCTTTCCTTTTCTTCTCTGCAAGTCACACTCTTTTTTTTATTTATATTGTTATTGTTGTATCTAAGTTGAGGGCTGCGGGCACGTCAAGCTACTTTGCTTATTTCTGTAGCCCTCCTGCATCTAATGTATTTTAATTATGCATTCAATATATTTGTTTAATTTCGTTGATTATCTGTATAAAATTATACACACTTAAAATATTGTATCAAACCATATTATGTTCATGAAAATGTATGATTGAAAAAAGAAAAAAAAGATGCAGAAACCAATAAATCAAATCAAATCAAAATCAAATCAATTTCCTCCGTATTTGCTTGGTCGTAAGTAATGAGTTCTACAGTTGCCTGAATAAACCAGACTCCTAACCACCGCCGATCGACAGAATCGTGGCTTTTCGGCCAAATTCGGAGCAATGTAATTTCCTGTTCGCCTTTTCTCGGTCTGCTGTAGGTCTACTAGTCGAGACTCGGGTATTACTCTTACCAGTTCTCCCACTTGCCCTGTTCCGCAGCCTACATCCAGGATCTGACAATGTTTGTCCCGGATGATCTCAGCCATCTTCATCGCCCCGATTTTGGGTCCATTGTAAGCCGCTTTGGCATAGTCCTGTTAAAGAAAAGGTTCATTTTCAGTGTATATGAAAAATACCGTCAAACCTGTCTCAGTGGCCACCTCAATATTAATAATACCTGTGTATAGTGACCATGTATTTCATCTCCATCGAGACAGAATTTGTGTTGTAAAACCTGTCTAGAAAGGCCACTTTTTTGTTTCGCTTTGGGGACCTTGATAGACAGGTTTGACCGTAATGTGTGAGCATTCTCATGATAGGCCTGTATTAATATATCAGTTTGGAAAAATAATAATACCAGAAATGCCACATGTAAAGGATTCCTCTTGAAATTCCCGTCATATTCTAATTATAAATAATAAAAGTATAAGGCTCCTTATTCATTATAGTAGACTAGGACAAGTTGAGCTTAGTCCAGTGAATTATAGAGTGCCACGTGTAAGCTTGTTTGTTTGTTTTTGAAGAAAAAAATGTATTAAATTCACCCGAAATGAATGCAGTCATAAAATCATAATTTCATGTTGAAATGATTTGTGTTCGTACATAATGATAAATTTGATGGGATGAGAGGGTACTGGCTACTTTTATGGGTTGAAACTGACTTAAAGTTGATATAATTTGAATACCGGCCTATGTGTTACCTGGTTGTATTTGGGACTCCAGTCGTTGTATGCTGTCTGGAGGGCCTGGCCCCTGAGTTCGCCCGAACAAGTTGCATTGATGAGATCCCAGTAAGTTGATGTAGTCATATCCATTCTGAACTGTTATAGATTAACTGAAAGAGAGAGAGATTGATTCCTCTAAAGCGCCTGACACTGTACTCAGGGGCGGATCCAGCAAAATCTTTACAATATGTAGTTTGCCTAAGATAATCTAGGAATATATTTTAAAAGAAATAGAAGGAAGAGCTGTGAAAAATTTCATGGCTTGAAATGATCGTAGATTATTTTGTTGGAATTAATTGCTATTATTTTAAAAGTACTTGATTTCAAGATACTTGTGATGCAACAGTGGCTATTGTCATTGTAATGCATTTATGAAGAATGACAAAATACAACAATAAGTACTTTGCACAATACTGCAAATCTCCTGAACTGCATTTACGCACTATAATGTACATTCTTTCCTATCATGTCTGGCAGAGCATGAACCCCTTTTAAGGAAAGTTTTACCTCATAAAAAGAAATTAAGATTTACTATACAAAAACAATGTGAGTAAAAACTAAAGAATGTTTGATAGTTTATTGTTGAACCATTTTCCAACCAGGGGAGGGGTCATTCTGACCCCCCCCCCAAATAATTTTCGAAACTCTCCTTAAATGCTCCTGAATATCCAAATCCCTTAATTATCATGCCTTTTTAAAGTATTGTGCATTCTTTGGTACCAAATTTGCGAAATCGGAGAAGACTTTGCAAGGTTTGTTTGTTTGTTTGTTTATTTATTTAAATACAGTGATTAAAAAACATGCTTTCAGCTTAGCATAGCTGTTTTTCAGCATGTCCGTACATGGTACATTAAAATACATATGAATAAACATATAAAACACAACAATTAAACAATAACAAATACATAATATAAAATAAATAAATGTAAAAAAAGAAAAAAAATTAAACAAAATAAGTATAATACAAGGTTCAACAAAAGAAATGCAAGCTAAACAGAAGGGGAAAAAAAGAAATATTAATGAAACTAGAAAGGGTTGGTGTACAATTGAGAAATCAATCTGGGGAAACTATTTATGTTATTTGCTAAGTGGATTGACCCTGGGAGTTCATTAAACAGTTTGATACTAATATAAAGTGAGCTATTTTTAAGAAAGTTTGTCCGGGGTGTGCCTAAGTGAAGAATACATTTGTGGTTGCGTAAAGAATAAAAACTTTCCTTAACAATTATTTATTATAGAGATAGTAGTGTCAGGTTATGGATCCGTTTAAAAATTAAAATTAATAAGGACCTTTTAATCTTATTGCTAATGCAATCAATGTTTACATTATTATATATATCTTTTCTGCTATATCTACAATCTACATTCAAAACTATTCTCAAGTCCCTATTTTGTAATATTTGCAATTTAAGTAAATGATGGGAAGAAGGACAAAGCCAAACTACGTGACAGTAATCAAAATACGATTGAATCATTGTGTGATATAAGACAATAGCAGTGTCCCTATCAATATATGGTCTAGCTCGTCGCAACACGTAAACATTTCGGTGTATCTTTGATTGTGTATTTTCAATTTGGGGGGGACCATGACAATGATTTATCCAAAATGACACCTAAATATTTTAATTCATCAGTTATTTCCAAAGAATGACCATTGATACATAATTTGACATGCTGAAATTTCAAAAGATTTTTCCTTGTCCCAAACAGAATAAACTTACACTTGCTTTCATTAAGTATCAATTCATTATGTAAAAAACAATTTGTCACTAACTCAAGATCTTCGGTTAAAATTTTCTGTAACTGAAGCGGATCTTTAGAGGCAAAATAAACACGAGTGTCGTCTGCATAAAGAGATATGGAGCAATTTTGAACAACTTTCGGCAAATCATTTAGGTACAAAATAAATAAAAGTGGGCCAATTATACTACCTTGAGCTACACCGTGTTCGATAAAAGACGCGGTTGATTCATTGTCATTTATTACTGTTATTTGACTTCTCAGGTAAAAATAATCCTTGAACCACTCTATTATATTTTCATGAAAACCATAGAACTCTAATTTACGAATGAGTATATCGTGAGATACCATATCGAATGCTTTTTGAAGATCGAGTGACACCATACCGACAACATTGCCAGTGTCAATGGCTAACCTAAAATTGTCAATTAAATCTAATAATGCAAACGTGGTTGAATACTTAGGGCGAAATCCATTTTGATTACTAACCAGAATATCATTTTCGTCTAAATAAGAATAAACTTGTTTGAAAACAAGTTTTTCAAGTACTTTTGACAAGACGGATAATATGGATATTGACCTGTAGTTAACAGGAAGCATTTTATCACCGCCTTTGAACAAAGGAGTTATTCTCGCTCGTTTCCATTCATGAGGGACACGACCTTCTTTTAAAGACAAGTTTATAATGTGCGTTAGCGGTTCAATGATATGCTCTATATTTTCTTGTCAATCCCTATCAGACTTCGAACTTTTAGCAATTCTTTTAAAGCGATCGCGTCTATGCATACTGTAAAGACCTTTTTTGACCCACTCTTTTCTTGTTTACAGGTGCGTGGCGATCTAAAAAGCACTAAATTTGGTTTCCCATGTATTGTAAAGCAGGGCTCCCACTTAGCCGAGTTGGAGCCTCGAGTTGTGGCGAGCTGGCGCGATCTCATGGCAAGCCGTTTTATTATTAATTGATATCAAGAAATATTTTTATGTTGTAAAGCAATGGTAATTCCTGATATCAAGAACTCGATTTCGTGATATCAGGAATTCGATTTCGTGATATCAAGAATTGAATTCTTGATATCAAGAAATATGTTTTAATGATAAAATTGCTTGCCATAAGATCGCGCCAGCTCGCCACAACTCGAGGCTAAGTGGGAGCCCTGCTTAAGCCTTTTGCACATCGTCATTACCTAAAACATCATCCCATGCGATATTTTGTAATTCTTGATTTAACTGGTCAAAATCAATTTTCTTCGTGTTACGAGAACTAGTATAACAATGATTATCATTAGAGGGGGGTTTAGTATTACCCCATGAAAGACTAACCATGTAATGGTCACTTAAAGTAACACACAAAAATTCTCATTGTTTGATTATAGATATATTTGAGGAAATGCACAATCAATTAAAGTACTCGTAGACTGGGTAACACGCGTTGGTTTTTCAACGTGTTGGTGCAAATTATACTCACGAGCAGGCGCGTACGCAGGGGGGGGGGGGGGGGTGTTTGGGGGGGTTAAACCCCCCCTTAGGTATTTTTATGTGTATAAACCCCCCTAAAAAAAATCAAACCCCCTCCCCCCCCCCCCCCCCCGGAGCAAAATGTCAATTTTTCAAATTTCGCGACCAAAAAAGAAAATTAAAAAGTGTCCTCTTACACCCCCCCCCCCCACCTGAATAACAATTCAAGAAAATAAGATTGTAGCTCAGTAAGGACTGTACAATTTGAAGATTCTTGAAAATATACAATTATTTGGTTCTAGAACAATTACCCCCTGGGCAATCACCTCCCGGAAAGTTACCCCCCGGAGAATTCCCCCCCGAGGAAAATAACCCCCTAAGGACAATTACCCCACGGAAAATTACCCCCGGAGAATTACCCCCCGAGGACAATTACCCCCCAAGGACAATTACCCTCCGGAAAATTACCCCCCGGAGAATTACCCCCTAATGTCTTTGTTGGGCCATTTTGGGGGAGACTAGCTGTATTAACGCGTACTCATCTGCGCGCAGTGTATTGTTAAATTTCTAAGAAATGTAAATTCCGTACTTTGATTTGATACATGCGTCTTCTGGCAATTGAATTCGATTTGATACATGCGTCTTCTGGCAATTGAATTTGATTCAATACACGTGGCATCTTCACAAAGTCAAACTTCACAAAGGTGGAATGGATACAGAGCGAGAGGGGTGGGTGAAATCTCCTCCTAGGAGGATACATGTACGTCAAGCAAAAAGATTTGGCAGATGGGTACGAGGGCTTTGAATGTGAGCTACGAATATAAATATAATTTATACACAACCCCTGTACGAAACAAATCTATTCCGTCATAAATAACTAAGAAAATGAAAGTTCATGACATTTTCTCTTAATAGCAATTTGAAGATGAGCTCGCATTATACGTCACAGTGTTACAAATTCCCTGGGTGTGATTGTCCTCGGGCCGCGGTAATGGTGTTTCGAGGGGGGGGGGGGTAATTGTCCTCGTGGGGTAGTTTTCCTCGGGTGGTAATTGTCCTCGGGGGTAGTTGTCCTCGGGGGGTAATTATCCTCGGGGGGTAATTGTCCTCGGGGAGTAATTGTCCTCGGGGGGGGGTAATTCTCCGGGGGGTAATTTTCCGGGGGGTAATTGTCCTTGGGGGGTAATTGTCCTCGGGGGGTAATTCTCCGGGGGGTAAATTTCCAGGGGGTAATTGTCCTTGGGAGGTAGTTTTCCGGGGGGTAATTTTCCGGGGGGTGATTGCCCAGGGGGTAATTGTCCTGATACGCAATTATTCCTCCTCCAGTTCTGTTTCTGTCTCTTCTCAAAGTACGATAACCTGGCACAGATATATCGTCATTCGTGATACTATCATCGAGTATGGTCTCACAAAAAGTCACAACATGAAAATTATTTCCCATTATAATATTTCGTATTTCTTTAATATTTTTTAACAAAGAACAAACATTGAAGTGAGCTATATTAAAGCCATTGAATTTATCCAAAGATTCGAACAAATCTTTTTCGATATCAGAATCATCCTCCTTCCCCGTAAAAAATAGGGGTCCATTGATTGTATTATCACTTTCACAATCATCATCTGTGTTATAAAATGGCAATTGACGTAATAAACAGGCATCATATACCCAGTCGGAGTTCGATTGAAATAATTCACTACTGACAGAATAACAAATTAAGTGAATCCACTTTCTACAATAAACACATAATATGAAATTTTGATTCCAATTAACATTTTTATTACAGGTTATGCAGGGATATTTCATTCCCATATTAAAAAATGTTGTATCCGGAAATGTACATCATATTAAGTTCAATTTTTTTACTAGGGATGGAATCGGTGGTTGTCAATCTGAACATGGTAGTAGTATCCAAAGCGATGGACCTCAGAGTGTAGTACAAGATCTTATAAGAAATAATGGTCAACGGTCATTTAACGACCGAGATCATGGGGGGGGGGAGGGGGCTTAGAAGCCCCGGGCTATGCAGTTTCAAAATAGCCAAGGCTAGATAGGGTTCATAGGAAATCGAAGTGGAGCAATTGTCTCAGGAGCAAGTGTCACACCATTAGATTGTCCAGGTGCTGGTTACTCATCATTGGCAGTTAAACAAAAAATCCTTTTACAAAAGAGAGAAAGAGAAAGATAGAGAGGGGTAGCCTATGGCCCGGGTTCAAATGGAGTTCCCTTTAATTTATTAGACTCGGCACTGATCTACGATGTGCATGATTGACCTGTGTACGTCACACCCAATAGCACCTCATTTTTGTTTATTGTTGTAAATAATTTATTGGCGTGCACCCTGTATAGACGTATTTTTATAATGCGTTTGATCTCGTTATTGAAAACAAGATCAAACACGATGACAATGACATGACATGACAATCTACAGAATGCAACCAAAAATTTCTTAACAATTGAAATTTCTTTCAGGAAGCCTAACAAGAATATGAAATAAATTCATGAATAAAGAGAGGCCTACTTGGTATACTTCCGAAACCTGTTTTGTATACATACAAGGGTTTACAGTCTACATAAACCAGCTCACTGATCTCACAATTTTATTTGTATTGTCCAGAAACCTCGTGAGTCTTCTCATTCTATAATATATCCCAAGTTGGCCCCCCAATATTCCAATGTGCACCCCTTTTTTAATCTTCATATATCAAATTGAATCCAACTACATTGTATCACAAACATCTGTAAATTTTGATGTACACCCCCTCTTTCTTTTTATTCTTATCTCTCTCTCTCTCTCTCTCTCTCTCTCTTTCTCTCTAGCTTTCCCCTTTTACCAGTATTTGTTCCACCATTTTCGTATTATTATGTATCCATTGAGGGTATTCATGGTATCGAGCTTTGCTTATTTTGTCAGCCCTCCTGTTTGATGTTTTCGATTAGTCACTTTATTCGACATTATATTCTTTTGAAATGTGTAAAATATTTTGTTTGTTATATATTTGTAATCATGCAAAAGAAAAAGAAAATCAATCAGAAATAAATAAATCAAATCAAATACAAGCTGTTTTTTTTAAATCAATTCTTGTTATCAAGAAATATTTTTATGTTGTAAAGCAATGGTAATTCCTGATATCAAGAACTCGATTTCGTGATATCAGGAATTCGATTTCGTGATATCAAGAATTGAATTCTTGATATCAAGAAATATGTTTTAATGATAAAATTGCTTGCCATAAGATCGCGCCAGCTCGCCACAACTCAAGGCTAAGTGGGAGCCCTGCTTAAGCCTTTTGCACATCGTCATTACCTAAAACATCATCCCATGCGATATTTTGTAATTCTTGATTTAACTGGTCAAAATTAATTTTCTTCGTGTTACGAGAACTAGTATAACAATGATTATCATTAGAGGGGGGTTTAGTATTACCCCATGAAAGACTAACCATGTAATGGTCACTTAAAGTAACGCACAAAATTTCTCATTTTTTTATTATAGATATATTTGAGGAAATGCACAATCAATTAAAGTACTCGTAGACTGGGTAACACGCGTTGGTTTTTCAAAGTGTTGGTGCAAATTATACTCACGAGCAGGCGCGTACGCAGGGGGGGGGGTGTTTGGGGGGTTAAACCCCCCCCTTAGGTATTTTTATGTGTATAAACCCCCCTAAAAAAAACCAAACCCCCTCCTCCCCCCTTTGCTTTTTAAAAAAAAAATTGTTTTTTTGTTTTTGTTTTTGTGTTATTTAAAAAAAAAAAAAAAAAAAAAAAAAATTACCCCCATGGCTGACCTAAAAAAGGTGACCTTACCCCCCCCCCAACGGAGCAAAATGTAAATTTTTCAAATTTCGAGACCAAAAAAAAAATTAAAAAGTGTCCTCTTACCCCCCCCCCCCCCCCCCCCTACCTGAATAACAATTCAAGAAAATAAGATTGTAGCTCAGTAAGGACTGTACAATTTGAAGATTCTTGAAAATATACAATTATTCCTCCTCCAGTTCTGTTTCTGTCTCTTCTCAAAGTACGATAACCTGGCCAGATATATCGTCATTCGTGATACTATCATCGAGTATGGTCTCACAAAAAGTCACAACATGAAAATTATTTCCCATTATAATATTTCGTATTTCTTTAATATTTTTTAACAAAGAACAAACATTGAAGTGAGCTATATTAAAGCCATTGAATTTATCCAAAGATTTGAACAAATCTTTTTCGATATCAGAATCATCCTCCTTCCCCGTAAAAAATAGGGGTCCATTGATTGTATTATCACTTTCACAATCATCATCTGTGTTATAAAATGGCAATTGACGTAATAAACAGGCATCATATACCCAGTCGGAGTTCGATTGAAATAATTCACTACTGACAGAAGAACAAATTAAGTGAATCCACTTTCTACCATAAACACATAATATGGAATTTTGATTCCAATTAACATTTTTATTACAGGTTATGCAGGGATATTTCATTCCCATATTAAAAAATGTTGTATCCGGAAATGTACATCATATTAAGTTCAATTTTTTAATAGGGATGGAATCGGTGGTTGTCAATCTGAACATGGTAGTAGTATCCAAAGCGATGGACCTCAGAGTGTAGTACAAGGAAATAATGGTCAACGGTCATTATGAAAAATGGAAGTTTTTTTTATATGATCTTGCTCATTTTTATAATTTTAAGAATTAAATTCCCCCTCTATTTTATAGGCTGAGCGACTTGTCGCATTACTATATGCTTGTCTTCTTTTTAATATGAGCTTGAAACAAAAATGTCCTGGAGAGAAAAGACCACAAGAGAAGGTAAACATATTTACTTGATCTGTCTAGTTTTGTCAAGTAAAGGGACATTTTTAAACCTGACCTACTGTTACAAAGTCACGCGACCTTTTGTCTTTGCATGTCAGCCCGAAAATCTCATTTTCTTGATTTGAGTACAAAACATATGGAAATCTCATTTTCCAAAAAAGAGATAAAACTTTAACTATTAGGTCTTGTTTATAGTTAAGGTGTTTATTTTGGGGTTCAAAATAGTTGAATTATAGTTAGAATAATAATAAAACAACAAAAACAATAAAATACATAAATTCCCGAAAAAAGAAATAGGCCTAAAATACAATCAATAGAAAAAATAAGGAATAACCTGGATTTTCTAATTTTTTGGGGGTATTTTTATCATAAACTAGTGTTTAAATATGAGGAATATATGATTTATGGGTAAAAATGTGAATTGTATTTTATTTGGATAAATTACCATAAATATGCAAATGAGGGAAGTTTTCAAAACAAATTAAATCCCATAGTAATCTATACAAGTACTTTACGTGACATGCATACACATTTTTGCGGCAATTGGCCGTTTAACGACCGAGATCATGGGGGGGGGGGCTTAGAAGCCCCGGGCTATGCAGTTTCAAAATAGCCAAGGCTAGATAGGGTTCATAGGAAATCGAAGTGGAGCAATTGTCTCAGGAGCAAGTGTCACACCATTAGATTGTCCAGGTGCTGGTTACTCATCATTGGCAGTTAAAAAAAAAATCCTTTTACAAAAGAGAGAAAGAGAAAGATAGAGAGGGGTAGCCTATGGCCCGGGTTCAAATGGAGTTCCCTTTAATTTATTAGACTCGGCACTGATCTACGATCTGCATGATTGACCTATGTACGCCACACCGAATAGCACCTCATTTTTGTTTATTGTTGTAAAGAATTTATTGGCGTGCACCCTGTATAGGCGTATTTTTATAATGCGTTTGATCTCGTTATTGAAAACAAGATCAAACACGATGACAATGACATGACATGACAATCTACAGAATGCAACCAAAAATATCTTAACAATTGAAATTTCTTTCAGGAAGCCTAACTAGAATATGAAATAAATTCATGAATAAAGAGAGGCCTACTTCGGATACTTCCGAAACCTGTTTTGTATACATACAAAGGTTTACAGTCTACATAAACCACCTCGCTGATCTCACAATTTTATTTACATTGTCCAGAAACCTCGTTAAAGTTAAAATGGTTACTAAGATACTTCGATGAAACAAAATCAAAGTGGAGATGGATGTTTGATTGTGAATTCGAAAAAGATGAATCAGAAACGTGTGTTGCATGCTTACCTTTTGCCTCATTTGCTGAAATGCTGAAAGACTATAAGTCCTACTACGCTCACGAGTGATGAACCTTTAATGTTGGAGCAGTGGTGGAGATTAGAGTTATGATTCAATTTCATAACGTGTACCTACGAAATCATAAAAAATGCCGCCCATAAATAGATTGTAAATAGCGACTCATTCATCCGCATCGTTCTCCTGTGTATTTACAACACCACGAGGTTTTCTTCACTCCCGCTTACACCACGCTCGAGTCAACAACTCCTGCTTATAGTCCGGGAGCCAGTGGCGGGGGGGGGGGGCAACCTAGCTGGAAAGGAAACCAGTTTTCATGTGCTCAGATGTTAAGACCGTCGGGCATGTTCCAGCACGGTTCAACGAATCGTCTACTTTCTCTAATAATTTAATGAAACGTCAAAACTTCCGCGCTTCGCGCGGGAAACTGAATTCAGATAAGGATTAAGAGTCGAGAACAGTACACCGAATCGTCTGCTTTTTGTCATAATTTAATGAAACGTCAAAGCTTCCGCGCTTCGCGCGGGAGGAGAAGAAACTGAATTCAGACAAGGATTAAGAGTCGGGCACGGTTCAACGAATCGTCTACTTTCTCTAATAATGTAATGAAACGTCTCAATTTGAGCGCTTCGCGCGGAAGGGGGAGAACTGAATTCAGAAAAGGATTAAGAGTCGAGAACAGTACACCGAATGGTCTGCTTTTTCTCATAAGTTAATGAAACGTCAAAGCTTCCACGCTTCGCGCGGGAGGGGGAGAAACTAAATTTAGACAAGGATTAAGAGTCGAGCACAGTTCAACGAATCGTCTTCTTGTTGTAATAATTTAATGAAACGTCAAAGCTTTCGCGCTTTGCGCGGAAGGGGGAAGGGGGAAATATCATTCAGACAAGGATTAACAGTCGAGAACGGTACAATAAATCGTCTTCTTTTCCTAATAATTTAAGGGAACGTCAAAGCTTCATCGCTTCGCGCGGGAGGCCTATCACACACACCCCCTAATGAGCGCGCTAAAGTGATTCGCTTACTCACTACCGCCCCCCTCCCTAAAATAAGATCCTAGCTCCGCCCCTGCATTAAAATATATAGCTATGATGCTGACTAAGTTGACGAAAAAATTCGTATATTTATGTCGTCGAGGAAAATGACGATTTGCGCATACGCAAGTACTATAGATAATCCATATGAAAAACAATTTAGCCTTTGGCCACGGGTTTATAGGGTTAAATTTGTAGATATTGGGACATTTAATTTTGTCGGTAATTGGTGGCTAGTTTTGTCGGTAATCGTTGGCCTCTACACCCCCCCCCCCCCCCCCACTGAAAAAGGTCTAGCGACGCCCCTGCATAGGGGAACTGTTTAATTGTTGAATTAGCATGTCTCACCTGCATAAATTTCGAGCACTTTCTTTTATCATAGTCACAGTTGTGAATTTCAGTCCCTCGTCCTGAAGCAATTACCTATGAGCACACGGATTATCTTTTTAAAAGATCTCATAAACTTCAATAAAGGTATTACTCAAATTGTTTTGTTAAGTGTTCTGAGACAGGTGGCTTAGTGTGTCTTTTCCAGCATTTTCAAATAGTTTGTCGCATCGACCTGTTTCTCATATTCATTGCGATCAGGCGCGGATCCAGGATTTCTTATGAGGGGGGGGGGGGCCAAATTTGAAATTATGAGAGCCAAATATTGGAACGTAATGGTGACCAGCAGTGGCGTAATTAGCATAAACGTTGGGGGGGGGGGGACAGACAAAAAAACAATTCGCAACACCCCCACTCTTACATGCAATACCCTCTGACGGAGGAGGCTAGAGTATTTACGATCATGAAGAGCGTAGCGTAAATTAGCGGTGAGGGTTCATAAACATTATTCTCTTCTCCTTTTTAATTTCTGAGACTGAGAGTCCAACAATCCAACAACTGTCATGGACGGCCATGTATAAAGAGCAATCCAACCTTTGTAATAAGTTAATTTGGATGAAAGCAGAAATGTGAGAGAAACATAAACAAATTGGACCAATAATGAGAAAGTTATGAATATTTAATGTATGAAATGACTATAATGGGGCGTTGCAAGAAAGTTGCGATTGATTCAATTCAATTCAATTCAATTCAATTTCGGTTTATTAATATCAACATATACAATGTACAATGCAGTAGTCCAGGGACCAATAATGCAATGTTTACATAAAATGTGCATAAAAACAGGAATGATCATAAAAATGTACAATAAAAATGATAAAAGATAAAGTTAAAATTATTGCTCATACCTAAAGTTATATACATATATAAATAAATGATAATAGATGGATGATAATAAATGTTGAACCAGTTATTGCAAGTACAAATAATCTTTAAATTTAACAGCTATTTAAAAAAAATATATATATACATAATATATAGAGGGAGAGAGAGAGAGAGAGAGGAAATTATTATATTGCAATTGTTAACATGAGATCCATAGACTGAAAAATTATACATGCAGGTGTGTCTGTTGTGTGACAGGTAAGGTCAAATTATGTTGAATATAATTATTACATTAAGAATATATCATTAAAGCATTTCATATAAAGTGATGTATAGTGCCCATGAGCATACACAAATTCTCATAATTGTTGAGTTTCCACATTAAATTTTAAATTGGAGTTGAGTTACAATCATGTTATTGCAGCAGAATTATACACGGTGGTTTAAGAACAACTTCATAAGAAAAATGAAGAGCACTCAATAAAATGTGCACGGAATTTTGAATTTTGGATCGATCTTGAGTTGAATTAAACAAAGTAACAAAACAATAACTCCAATATTATTAAAAAAGAGAAGAAAAACAAATATGATATATTACTATAGATGATCTACAACTGAGCATTGACCAGTTTGACAAGTGTGGGGACACTTGATTTTCTATATCGTTCAGCTCTTGCATAAGGAATGTGTAGGTGGTTAGAATTCCTAAGTCCACCTCGCGAGAGATGCTGTCGTTCTGCCGGAAGCAAATCACGGTGTCGCGAGGAGACAAGGATTGATTTGGCAAAGTTGATAAGTAAGTCACTTCTTCGCCTGGCAAGGGAGGGAATGCCGAAGCTGCTCAGGAGTTCCTCATAGTGCTGTTGATCAGGGTAAGATATCATCCTGAGTGATCTACGTTGTATCCGCTCTATGCTATCTGACTGCTGTGTTGTCAGGCTACTGCTCCACACTGGTGCACAATATTCCATCAATGGTCGGATATACATTGTGTATATGAGCACAAGATCACTGGTTGGAACTCCATTCCTCTTCAATTTGCACAGGATATGATTGCAAGTTACACAATTTGCGACTAATATTTGGAATCGATTGCAACTCAACGTTCTTGCAACGCCCCAATATTCTCCTCCTCTCTATCTCCCTTTCTTACTGATGGGGCGTTGCAAGAAAGTTGAGTTGCGATGAATTGCAAATTTGCAAATAATCGCACGACTTACGCTTGACTTTGGGGATTTGTGATTGATTGCAACTTTCTTGCCCCATAAGTCTATATGCGAATCTCAAATTGGCAGTTTGGTTATTGGATTGTGACGTAGTCGCGGATAACTCTCCCGTTTTTTCGTGTACAAAAATATATAATTTTCTTCTTAGAGCTTTCTCCCGGGGCATTGCTCAAAACATAAAGATGGATAACACATTATTATAGACCCTCTAAAGAGAAGAGACCCTACTGAGTATAGCATTTTTGGGGAAAAAAAAGACATATCGGTCAGTTTGTGCGTTTGAACATATGGGAAGGTTGTTCGCCACTACATCACAGACTTAGAGACATCACCGATTCAGCCAATTTGAAGAGCCCAAACCTATAGTAATTACGACTTTCGAGAATTCATAGATTTCTCATTTTTGTCCGATTTCATTCACACTTTCACCGGTCTACACTTTTCTTGCTTTCCACCTGAGAGTGGTTTGTTGTCAAGGATGGATTTATATTAGGCCAGGGAGGGGACATGAGGCAACTACCTGATTAGGCGTACTTTTAAATCAAAGTCGCTTTCCAACATCCATTATAGTCATCATTTATAAAGAAAACAAGAATCGAATGAAGGCAGTTAATAATGAAACATCAAACATGAAAGAAATTTGGTGGTGTATTCAACTTTAGTGTCATCAGGCGCTCTCATGTAACTAAAAAAAAGTTAATTGAATTTCAAACAAGAGCAGCTCCTAAACATATACGATCTCTTCAATTTTATACGTAAGAAAGCAAGGGGGCGTCATTACACAAAACGATGTAGATAGAGGGCGATATTACTATTTCATTAGAGCGCCCCATGAAGTCTCTATGATGAGACCAAACGATAAATGCGAAATGAAATAATTGTTTAAAGGTGGACAAGCATGATATTATGAATGTGGGTATAGTTACAAAACAGTACTGAATTTCCCCTCCGTTGAGTTCTCGAGAGCCGTTGAGTTCTTGTGATTTTAAAGAGGCGATATAGGCCTGTACCGGACGCGTCTGTTTTTCCCGTAACCTAGCCATCCTGTCGCTGCATTTGATTTGCTCAGTAGGCACCTATACGTCATGCGCTTGTCATCGATATTCTTGTTACGCACGCACACAAAATCTGATGCGATACTTTATGAAATATGAGATTTTATGAAAAAATTACAAGTGCAAAGCTAAGTTTATTTAAAATAAATGACAATGCGAGAAAATCGGGAGGCTTACCGTAAACGAAACCTACCCAGGTCGTAATTTGTCCATAATCATTGCGACATACTGGTTAAGTCCAGAATCTGGCCGATTTAAATTTGATATCCACCACACCATACCAACGCAAATATTCATATATTCAAATATTAATATTAATTTTTGGATGGCTAGGTTACGGAAAAAAAGACGTGTACCGGACCTTATATTTCAGGAGTTGGGAAAACAAAAATTATCCAAGGCATATCTATGTAATTGAGGACCAACTTTCTTTTCAGATACGTGAAGGGTTCCGCTCTTAACGACCATTTCAAAATGTGGGGGTTGGGAGTTGGGGGTAATTGCGACGATCTCAACTGCTGTACATGTACTAGTTTGTTTGAAATGCTTTGATAACAAGGATTTTTGACATAAA